GCGACGTGCAAAAAAATCTTTCTGGAATTTCGTGGCACACCAAAGAGTTCCGAGTTATCAAGGAAGTGCCGAAGAAATTCAAATGCTGACACACTTACAATCACACGCACAACCACACAACAGTGAAATATATAAAAACTTTTAAAATAGACATTATTAAGGAAAAAAAATTGTCATTGTGTATTAAATACATGATAAAAAATTGGAAAATGTCAAATACATGTATTTGATTGCGGCACACCTATATACTACTCATGGCACACCAGTGTGCCGCGGCACACCGGTTGCGGAGCACTGTATTAAATGATGAACGTATGTTGCTACGAACTTCTGTTCAAAATACAACCTTTCAAATAACTTTCATTTATTTCATAAAATATTTATAACATGATACATTGATTTGAATTTCTCTTGTTAATAAAGCTTTGCTTAAAAAACATAGACTCCTGTGAAACTTTAATTTCTAAATTTCATCATTAAGAAAATTTGGTTAAAGCGACCTTCCCGATCTTGCTGTGTTCTAGCAAGAAAAAGGGGAATCCGCTAAATTTTCCTGAAGTAAACATAACTTATGATATCAGTGCTGAAACGAATTAACGTACCGAATGCATGTGTACATTTAAAACAAGAATGAATTTTTCTTAATTACAGCTGGCATCCCATTATAACCTAGTATGTACAATAATTACAGCTGGCATCCCATTATAACCTAGTATGTACAGAAATTATTTTTGAATAAATTGAATGTACGTATAATTTTAAGAGCATAGTTCCCACTTTTGATACTTCCCGTTCATTCAGTCCTTTCGATAAATTCGCGCCCACCAGCGGCCGAGCGGTAAAGTCGCTGAACACTGATAGTTCGGTCCGAGGTTCGAATCCCGCCAACGGGCTGGCTGCATGTGCGTTTTCGTGGTTTTCCCCATGTGCACCATGTATACGAGCCAGTTTCCCTTAGAAAGTCCTCCACGAAGGCATTCCTCCCCTTAGGCAGTTAGCCCTCGAGGCTTTGCCATAATCACACACACACACATTTCGATAAATTCAATGTTTATATCTCGTTATTAATTAATTCTATAAACATGTTTGTTGATTCTTGTTTTGTAATCAGTCATAAATTATTATTCATAACTTGTAATTCTGTGTCAGAAATGTAAGCATGTTTGATGGGTTTCAATCATATTTTCTTTCGCAAGAAAACTCTTCTTTTATGCTGCAATAAATGTACGGAGATCCTTATTTAAAATTATGATTGTTGTTTGCGAAAGATCAGGCCTCTACATTTCGAACATACATTTCCTTAAATAAAAAATCTGATGTGTACACCACATGACTTCCTTGTACGGAATATTAAATTATACGCATTTTTTCTTGCATTTCATTTAAACTTATTGGATTGAATTAAATCTACTTCGCCGACAGCGCATAAACCACAATAGAATAAATGCATTCTTTAAAATTCACTCTAGTATTTGTTTACCATAGCGACACTCTGGCGCTAGATTCACTTAACAGTACTATATTTCGTTCATATTATAACTCATAATGCACAAAATTTATATCATTTAAAGAATAGAATTATCTAATCGTTGCCACATGTTCTATTCAAATACTATAATAAAGCTAGAATGATATATAAAAGTAATTAAGCAAACAAAACAAAAAAGAAACAGTTTTTCACAGACGATTGAGTATTTCTCATTCAATTAATTCAGTACTCACTTCGCGAGAAAGCAAACATACATAAAAACTCAAAACATCTATATTAAAAATTACGAAGTAAATCTTAAACACTTATTTCCTCGAAAAAATTCCAGAAAGGATTAAGCATGATTTAATTGGCAATAATAAATGAAGGCGTTATCTTTGCTGTTGCGAAGCTAAGTCTCTAGATTGGCAACAAATCCACTAATCTGCTGTTTCAAATGTAAACAATAAATGGCCGCCGTCACAAAAAAGGGCTTAGCGGCACTTAAACAACTTTAAAATTGTTGATAATTCTAAAAGTATTGCACACAGATTTACTAAAGGCATAAAAACCTTAACCGGAAGATAAATACAACATAATTCAACCATTTTTAAAGCAAAAAATGTATAATTTACAAACATATAAGTGTAAAGAAACTGAGATCGCTGAGCCGGGTAACAGAGTGGATATATATATAAATATATTTATACACGTTTGGTGCTGCCGATTGCAACCAAAATACGAGGTGCACATCTACATGTTATAGCAGTCCTATATACAAAATGCGAGATACGTACGCACGTACCTACATACGTTCGTACAGACGACACGAAAAATTCTCTTCAGAATTCATTTTAAAGCAGTTTTATAATTTTTTTGGAGGAAACGAGTCTTTTATTCTGTCCTTACGTTCAGATGTCACGCAAAAACATCGTTAAATTGCATTCGATAGCGGTCAAAATGGATATTTTTGTTGAAATATGCTGCCTGAAACTTTTCGCGATTACAATACTTCCTTTTTACTCCGTACAAGGAAGTAAAAAAGCAGTAGTTCAGCTACAGAAGCAAATCTTTCAAACAATTTAGAACAGAGGAAAAGGAAAATATATGTTATTATTACTAATAAAAAGATATCTAAAATTATTGTTAGCTTAAAAAAAAGTTAACGAAGTTAAAGTTTTTTTTTTTTTTTTTTTTTTTTTTTTTTTTTTTTTTTTTTTAATAATAAATGAGAATTTCTGTGAAAGCAGCTTAGAATATGGGAATACGGTCTAGCAAATGGGTAGAACACTAACAAATGGGTTCTATTAAGGAAGACATCTAAAGTGAAGATTTCGTCACACCTTCCAAACTGAAGAAACTCAGGTATTCCATCAAAGGACCCAGAGCTTCAATTATGTAGGAATATACCGAATCCAAGTTTCTGCATTTCTCACTTTCCAAACGAAATTGCAGTTATAACCAGACCCTTATGTAAGATGAGCTGCGATACATTATATAACTGATTCGTAAAACAAGCAGAAATTTCACTTACTCTATAATATTAAAATAGGAACCTCAAGGTTATTTTCTGTCCCTTTCCCGATTTGACTCGTAACCATGGAAATACCAGTTGCGGAAAAAGGTCGAATCGCTTGATTTTCCCCCCGCTTCCTTTAAGCGTATTTCAATTAATGAAAACCCCTCGAAAGAAATCTGACTAGAACTACAGCCTCTAATGATATGGAAAAAATAAATGCTATGCGGTAATGATGATGAGAAGTACATTACAAATGATGGGGCTAATAATGTCCTCGAAGGACCTGTTTTAAATAACAGACTACAGTACAATACTTTTGTTAGAAGTTAGTAAAACTCTCATTAATTCGAATAACTCAATGTATACTGAATTTCAGTTTTCCTCAGAAGAACAAAGTGTGCGGGAAAATTTAACCACCTAAGCTACAAGTGGTCGGAATGGGAATAATTTAAGAAATTTCATTTATTTTTTACATTTTTTATTATTGATTTTTTAGTAATTGATACATTAAATAATTATTAATGCATCAATAACTGTATTATTAATGTATCAATAACTGTATTATTAATGTATCAATAACTGTATTGATACATTACAAAGTATTTAATATATTCCTTCAAAAGGGAATTTGGAACTTTTAGAAACTAATAAAATAAACTCTTTAAAATCTATAAAGATTCGATGCGTGGAGTAAAGAGCCTACTCCTGTATCGGATAGAACAAATACAGACTTTTTCTTATTTTCAGAAATTTGTAGAACACATCTAAACTTTCATGATTTTTGTAAGAGTACGATTCATTCTTGAATTTTTAAGCCATTCTGTTTACTTCACCTGTGAAAGAATATCTTCTGTTATGAACCGTATTCAGTCGATGATAAATCCAGGTAAAATAATTTTTAGACACTAAAAGCTGTACCATTTGCGAGAACGACGTTGGATCATACAACATGACAAATTTTAAGATACGATATTTCATTAGCAAAATATTCATGGTATGATCCTGTTGATCTCCAAGAAGTTCTTGAGCTTTGATATGAGTTCTATTCCTTAAGAATTCAAGCTCAACATATATTACATATTTCTAACTTTGTACCATCTCGATATCCTGCTCTATCCGACCCAAATTATTCTAATCTTAAAATATTTTAATGAAAAGAATATTTAAAAAATAATAAAAATCTGAAAGCCTTCAGATATTACATTACGCCGGGCGTTTTTTTAACATTTTGTGTGTTACCTTTATTTATTAAATATCATGTTCTTCGCTCTTAAACGATAAAATTCAGTTCAACTGCAATATCGCAAAATAATTTTTAAATGAGCATATCTTTAGAATTTCCGATACACAGTCTCGCGAGCTAGAGAAATTTTTTTTGTACAGTGTTGCCATTCCTTGCTTTGAAATAGTGGAGTTTGTTAATCAAAAATTCTTTAATGCCTGACAAAATATGAAATAGGTAATAACACAAATTCCAAATTAGGGCTTCCAAATGTCCATATTCGGTGGAGGATTACGTTTTCCAAAATTCGATGGCTCTAGGTACCGTTGTTTCATTACAATGCGAGAAACATACCTACATTTAATCAGATTCCTCATTGTTTAATTTCTTTATATATAATACAGGGCTGTATTATTTGGTGGCAACAGTATGAAAAGGGAATCGAGGCAGAAAGTTAATCAACGCAAAATGCCAAAACAAAATTAATAATCCTTCTGGGCTCACACCGTATGGGCTAAGAACTATTATATTTCGATCACAAGAGCACACATTTTTTAATAGTAGTATATTTACTCTTTAATCATTCACTAAACTGCTTCTTTAATCTCTAATTTTCATAATCAAATTATTTGCATAAACTTAATCTTGATATCCTTTCCACTGATATTCCTACAAAAAAAGAAGTGGCTGAATTAGATCAAAATTTATTATTGCGAACTGTAGAACTCTCTGCCTAGGAAAGAAGAAAACAACTCAACTCTCTTTTAAGGCTAAAGACTCCACAGATGTTCAGAGCGTTGACTGAGTGCGGGGCGTTGTGCTTCAGAACGGAACGGGAATGGTGGTGCATTGTTTCGTGTCGCGTCGTGCATTTCATTGTGTGCCAGTGTTTACAAGTTAATGCAGGTGTATGTTTCTAAATGTAATCATATAAGCAATGGCTGTTCGATTGTTAATGTTGTAAAAACTGTGCTATAATATTATGATCGATTGGAAATACATGGATCGGTCGTCAGCAGGAAATTTTAATTCCTTGCGGCCTTTTCTTTAGAATGTTAAATGGCGCTTGTGGGATCTCGAGCTACTCAGCAAATGAGAGCTTTTCAGACTGTCAATTCTGCATCGCAGCATGCTATTTTGGCTGCTGCACAACCTTTTTATCATCCTACTGTAAATTCACAGGATGCGAAACCTGACAGACCCATAGGCTATGGTGCATTCGGAGTGGTTTGGTGAGTGCCCAACTTCCTTTGTTTGGTTTAGTTGAGATGGCCGCGTAAAGGCATTTTTGTTGTAAACATTAGTTGCACCTGGTTTTGTTTATTATTATTTGTTAGAACTTTGTGTTTATACGTAATGTTTTGTCACACAATCGAAATTTTACATTATAGTAAAAGTTTTCGTTTATATTCAAATAATTTAATTACTTTTTGGTACACAGCTTTTTAGGGCATTTAAACGCGCTAAGCATTCTGTAATGAAAGAAAAATATGTTGCTGTCTTTTTCAGTGCAGTTTGAAATTTTTAATGGCTTATTAAATTAATGCCTTAGTTAATATACTTCCAGAATATTTTAGAATGTTAATTTTTTTCCAAATGAAGAATTTTAGCTAGTACGGAAATTTAATTTTCTGGAAAGTGTTTTTAACAGGTAATGAAGAATATGTTAGTGAAATTCTAAAATGTTAATTCTAATTTAATATTTTAAAGGATAAGTAGATATATTTATTAATAATAATACATTAATACAATTAATTACTATGTATACATTTTTCTTGCCTTGGATGAAGCAAATTTATCAATTACTTCATCAAAGTCAATCCATTCAAATTTTTTTATTTCCACACTTTTAAAAATGCTAGATGACTTACGGGATCTTGTCCCATCGTTGATTGTAAATATGTCAAAATTTATTTTAATTTGCTGAACGAACGTTCATAGCTGGCATTTGATAATGAAATATTAAGGAGTATTTGAAGTGCGACTCTTAGGTTTAGAAAAACATTTTATCCATAGATCTGTAATGAAGTTTTAGGTTCCTTTTTTTCTACTGCGGATTAGCATCTTGCAGTCACATTGACTGCCCAAAACAATTAGGAGATATTGTGGGTTTGGTATGAAATAAGCATATAATCGACAACCTTTTTAACAAAAGGAAATAGAAGACTTTATAAAGGAAAATTATAACGGCTACAAAGTTGGGAATATTCAAATTTAGTCTGTGGCATCGAAAACTATGCGTTTTAGATATGGAGTAAGGAGCGACTTGCAGCATTCCTTTTGTAGTAGGTGATTGACATGCGTTGAATGCTTCGTAGCAGTGAATATACAATGCCTCAACAAGATGAATTGAGTCGGTAGCCAGGAAGGCCATCAGTCGTTTACAAGTCAAATGCAATCCATTGTAGTGGAAGTATTGGGAGTTTCTCAAAATGTCATTTCCAGACCATGGAATCGGTTTCTGGAAACTAATTATGTTTGAGGAATTTGGGACAAGGTCGTGTTATCGTTTTAAAATAAAAAGCAGAAGCTATACATGCATTTCGTTAAAAAAATAAAAATATATCTCTTAGAGAAATAGTCTTTTAGAGAAAGAACGTTTTGTATGTGGAGGTATTTAATTGATGTACTGCAAATATTTTATTACATATTTTATCAGACAAATCAGGAAAATAAATAATTATATTACAATAATTATTAATTTTAAATATATTTTTCAGAAATCGATCAAAATAAAAACTGAAATTTTCCAGAAAATCTTGTTTGGAGACCCTTTGCGAGCGGCGCATATTATAATTTCATCATACACCTCCTTTCCCCCCCCATCGCTACACCACTGCTTTAAATGTTTGATTTATATTAAGGTACAAGCATCGGTAAAATCCTAGTATACGGTGCAGCCTTGGCACGACTTAAAAATTATCTCCAACACCAAAAATGATCCAAAGAACGTCTATATATATATATATATACTATACACTATATGTGTGTATACTAGTATATACTATGTTTAACTATATATTTTCTTTGAATGACACGTTAACTACTCATCGTATATGTCCCGTTTTTACTGCTCATCATAAAGTCGCCAAATCCTGTGCGCACCGGATACTAGGATTAAACCCAAACATCTTACACCACTTCTCTCCTTTTGTACATTTTTTATTTTATTCTTATATTAGTAAAAAAGAAAAGGGGTTTAAAATGTGTAGTTTGACTTTCTACCTTATGTTTGGAACAAATAAATGTGTATTTTTTATACACAATATCTTAAGACAAAAGCTTTAAATATTCATACATTCAATAATTTTGAGGTTACAAAATGATCCTTTTCATGCACCATTTTTCTTTCCTTTGCTTACTTATTTATGTACTTCTTAATAAATAAAATTCTGGAAGTAAAAAATTAAGTTTTTAATGCATTTAAACAAGTGAAAAAAAATTTTAAAGTTTCCTTGTTGTTTGGAAGGAAATTTTTAACTTTTAAATATTTGTTAAAGGTTAAAAAGTTGATATTGACATTTGTAATGCAATTTACTGTTATGAAACTTATGCAATAGTAATATATTTTCTAGTCTTAAAGTGTGACAGGTTTTGAAAAGTTAAAACAGTTTACACAAAATTAAATTTTGAAAGTAAAAGAAATAGTATTTATAGTTTATACTTTAAAATAATGATACTTAACCCACAAACGTTGTATTTAGGGCTATCAGCGGTGTTTCCTTTCTGTAAAGAATTATAATTTTTGTGTATGAAATTTAGCATTTAAAAGGCCTTATAAATATGGAATATTTTCCATTTTGATATCTGACTCTATGTAAGCATGAAATATTGAGGATTTTTAACCCATCTATGGGTTAGAAAGCCATATGAACATTTATTTGTTGTTAAAGAAAAGTAATGATGAGGGAGAGAGTGAAGTTGAATACAACACATATAGCAAGAAAATTAGATGGAAGAGAGCTGATGAAGGATTGCAGATTGCTATAAGAATTGCTAAGAAATAAATGTTCATCTATGTCAGTACAAGATGTTATGAAGCTTCATTGTACACACAAAGACTTATTTAAATTACAGAGGCAATTTTGTAAGCAGAAAGCAATTCAGTATCTTACTTATTAGGTTAAAAATACAAGTTGTTGCTTAAGTGAATGTCATTGATAATAGTAGCTTAACTTATTTTGAATACAGAACATGGTGTTTAGCTTGAATTGTGCTGAAGCAGTGCCGCAAAGGTAACATCATATTCAAATCGTACAGAATAAATGATAACATGCAGTACTAAAATTTGAAAAACTTGGGTACATTGTTTGATTATTTCCACTTAATGAATCCAGTTGAAGCTGTATATGTTATTGGCTTTATTATGTAGAACTGTAGTTTAGAGCATTTCCTTATTGAAGCATAAAGAATCATGAGGAATTTCTTAATATTTATCATACAAGCATTCAGTATTTTATCTTTTAACATTATATAATACAGTCAAAAGTCGTTAATCCGGACTCGTCGGGACTTCGGCGATTCCGGATTATAGATCATCAGTTTAAATCTGGTAAGATGGCATGCAAAAATTACAAAATTAAAAATATGAAACCGTAATTTATGAAATAAAGAACAATTATGATCTAAAGGGTATCAAAATTTACAAAAAGAAAAAGCTTAATATTTATTTGTTTACTTTATTAAAACATTTCCTTCAATGTAAGTTGCTTCGTTTCATGTGATAATACTTTCTCTTTAATTCTATTAAACAGACATAATTTCTCGTTTAGTTACAAAGTTCCGCTGTTCATTATAATCCACATAAAATAAAAACATCTGCTCTGAAGATAAGGATAGTGTTTACAGATCAACTTCCAATCCGCTGTGTGAAATTCATAAACAGATTTCGGATTTCAAAACATACTTTCGCTTTGTAGATACAAATTACGTATTAGTAAATATATATTGGAAATTCTATTTGACATAATCTTTCTAATCTATCATAATCTAATAATGACGTTTCTGCCCCCACCTCTGCGGCAGAGCAGCATGAAATTGATAAACAGATTTCGGATTTCAAAACATACTTTCGCTTTGTAGTAAATATATATCGGAAATTCTATTTGACATAATCGAAAGTTCAAGCTTACTTTTATAAAATTGCTGTACAGTCTGCAAAAAATAATAAGCCGGATCCAATTCGAAGATTAAGGAACAACGCAATCTGCAACATTAACTGAATTAGATAACTTTAGCTTAGCGTATAACTCCGTTAAACATTAAACGCGCATGCGCACAAACATATTCGCAGCCGTAAGGGTCTTATGCGCACTCGTAAACGCCTGTGTGCATGCGTGAACGCGAAGCATGCGCAGAAAGTTTGTAGCTTTGAGGTCCGGATTATAGATCATTCCGGATTATGGGTGTCCGAATTAACGACTTTTGACTGTATATGTTATTGTATGATGCTACTGTTTCAGTTAGACTAGAAATTTTATGAAGAAATTAGTTTCTATTTCTCATTTGTTTAAATAGATATGTTTGTTCTTTAACCCTTTCGCTGTCTTCTCCTGTCCACGAAAATTTTCCCCCCAGCGGCCGTCAATGTTTTTCGTAGCATGTAATGTTGTTTTCTCTGTACATCATAACTTTCCATACATGACTTTCGTAGTGGTTTCAATGAATTCGTAGTTTCATTTCAATGAATATTAAGTAAAATTATAAGGAAATAAAGCATCGTGTAAAAATAATAATATCTGCTTATTTCTAACAGCAGGATAATTTGATATCTGATCCAGACAGTCCACTCCTCCCATTTTGTTGTTGTAATCTTTTACAATTACAGTCAAAAGTCGTTAATCTGGACTCGTCGGGACTTCGGCGATTCTGGATTATCGATTTTTCCGGATTATAGATCATCAGTTTAAATCTGGTAAGATGACATGCAGAAATTACAAAATTAAAAATATGAAACCGTAATTTATGGAATAAAGAACAATTATGATCTAAAGGGTATCAAAATTTACAAAAAGAAAAAGCTTAATATTTATTTGTTTACTTTATTAAACATTTCCTTCAATGTAAGTTGCTTCGTTTCATGTGATAATACTTTCTCTTTAATTCTATTAAACAGACATAATTTCTTGTTTAGTTACAAAGTTCCGCTGTTCAAGTCCTATAATTGCTGTGTTGAGAATACGGACTAATTTGTCAATCAAAATGTTTTCGTTTTCAATAACCTCTGGGTCAC